TAACAGCCCAAGTTTACCGCTAGCCGATATTGTCCTCTTTGAGCTTTGCCTTTCGGACTTTCTCTCAAGATTTTTAAAACATGTCAGTTAGGAAAAGGTTTTCACTCCCTTACAAAGGGTGTCTTGTTCTCCTCCCCAACAAATGCATTTTTATACTTAGTAGACAATTTCAAATTTGATATTGAATTTTTAATTCATCAAATTCAACTAATCCAAACTTAAATTAATGGCAAAATAACACTTTGGTCAATAGCTCATTTGATTTTTGCATGTTTTTATCCATTATTTCCACCATAAATAGAGAGGCTTTCAAACACAAAAATGTCAAATTCAGCCATGAATTCTTCTCCATTACTCCCTCTTTCTCTTACCCTTCTTGTTTTATGTTCATGTTCATCATGGGTTTCATCTAATTTTGTCAAACCCCATCAAAATTTCCTCCAATGTCTCTCCCATTATTCCCAAGATGGCTCCTCCATTTCAGACGTACTTTACACTCCCTTCAATTCCTCTTATTCTTCCGTCTTGAACATCACCCTTAGAAACCTTAGATTCTCAACCCCTCATACCCCAAAGCCACTCCTCATCATAACCCCATTACATGTTTCCCACATTCAAGCAGCCGTCCTTTGTTCCAAATCCCACGGCCTTCAAATCCGAACACGAAGCGGCGGCCATGATTTCGAGGGTCTTTCATACGTCGCTTCGTTACCCTTCATTATTGTTGACCTGATTAACCTAAACTCGATCTCTATCGATGTCGAAAATAAGACGGCGTGGGTTCAGTCCGGTGCTACTCTTGGTGAGCTTTATTATAGTATTGCTAAGAAAAGTCAAACCTTGGCCTTTCCGGCTGGGATTTGTCCGACCGTTGGGGTTGGTGGGCATTTTAGTGGTGGTGGGTATGGGATGTTGCTAAGGAAATATGGTCTTGCGGCTGATAATGTAATAGACGCTCAATTGGTTGATGCAAATGGGAAATTTGTTAATAGACAGTTGATGGGAGAAGATTTGTTTTGGGCCATTAGAGGCGGCGGCGGAGGGAGCTTTGGAATAGTGGTGGCTTGGAAGGTGAAGTTGGTTCCGGTTCCGGCGAGTGTGACACTATGCATGGCTAATAAAACCTCGGAGGATGGTGCCACCAAGCTCATTCATCAATGGCAATATGTGGCTCACAAATTGGAAAATAATGCCTTTCTTGGCATTCTTTTGGCAGGTATGTTCAACCGCGTCTAAAAAATATCTCTAATATTTTTTTTAAAGTTTCATTAATATTCTTAATTAAAAAAAAAAATATATATATATATATATTTTTACCATTAATACCACGTTTCAAAAATACTCCTAAACTTTTCGAAATAACACATAAAACGTGTGTAGATAATCTATGAAGTGTCAGTAAACGATTTTTGTTCAATAATATTTTTTGAACTTTTTTTTATCAATCTAAAGAGTGTTAATATTAGTTTTAAAATTTTATGGGTAATTTTATACTACTAACTATTTTTTATTAATTTAGTAAAATAATAATAATAATAATAATTTTGCTTTCAATTGCCGTCCACCATTTTTATAGCTATATTTAAATATTTTTGTCATATGATTTGAATGGTTGATTGAATTTTAAGGTTGACGGATGAAAAGTTAATTTTGAACAAATTTATGTGTCTAGATTTGAAGAGAGACTTATTCATTAGGAGGATAAAATATAATAATATAATTTGAATACCGTTTTTATTTAGTCTCTAAAATTTTAAAATCAACCCGTTTTGTATTTAAAATTTTAAATTATTTTCTATTTGATCCTAAGAATTTCAAGATTGATATGTTCGGTTCTTGGAATATAAATTTTAATTTCTAATTAGTCCTTTAGCGAGAATATTTGTTAATAATCAAATTGATTAAAAAAAATACGTATTAACAAACTAGTAAAGTCGAGTGAGACGTTATTTTTTGTTAGGTCAACGAGTGATTTATAAAAATTAATTTTATGTCCCTTTCCAAACTTCAAAGACAAGATATAAAAGGACAAAAATGGTTGATAATAGATTTATAAATTAGATTTTAATTTAAATGATTATTTTGACCGTGTTTTATCATATATTTATAGAATAGAACTAGTCGTACTTACCAAATTAAATATTAGATTGAATATAAATCATTATTAGTTAATATATCAATAATTTTTTTATATAATTACTATTTTATAATATCATACATGAATTTACAAAACCAAATACTAGGTTGCAATACAACTTTACATTTCTAAATTTTAGATAAAATCATTTTTAAAATTTCAACTATTTTCATTTTATAATCTAGAAATAATTTTTAGAAAGGCATCCATAAAATGCATATTTAGTTACAAAGTGAATTTGAAAACATAAACATAACTTATATTACTGAAATCTTACGTTGGTTGGAGAGGAAAACAAAACATTGTTTATAACGGTATGAAAATCTCTTCCTACCCGAAGCATTTTAAAATCTTGAGAGAACCTTGAAACAGAAAGCTTAAAGAGAACAATATATGCTAGCGTGGGCTTGAGCCTTTACAATTGTTGAGAGTTGTTAGGAGATAGTCCCACGTTGGCTAATGTAGGGAATGATCATGAATTTATAAGTATAGACAGACGGACTATTTCATAACTCAATTATTGATGACAGGAGGAAATTTTACGAGACAAGGAGGCAAAATAAACCCATTAGCGCTCTTCTTCTCATTGTATCTTGGCAAGGCAAACGAACTTTTGACAATCCTCAACACGACATTTCCCGAATTGGGTTTGTCAAAGAAAGACTGCATGGAAACGAGTTGGGTCGAAACCGCGCTCATCATGGGCACCGGGCTTCAACTAGGGAGCAAGCTAGAAGATCTACTAAGTAAGGCAACACTCGTCAATGGAAGCACCAAAATCAAATCCGACTACATCAAGGAGCCCATTCCTATGGCTGCAATCGAGGGCATATGGGAAAGATTAAGATATGAAGACATAGAAATGCCACAACATATATTTGTTCCTTATGGAGGGAAAATGGGTCAAATTCCAGAGTTCGAAACTCCATTTTCACATAGAGGTGAGAATTTATACAAAATTGGTTACATTGTTAATTGGGCAGAACAAGGTATTGAGGCAGAGAAAAGGCACATAGATTGGATACGAGAGCTTTATAGTTACATGACTCCTTTCGTTTCGAAGTCACCTAGAGCAGCGTATCTCAATTATAGAGACCTTGATATTGGATCGAACAACAAGTATGGAAGAACAAGCTATGAACAAGCTAGCATTTGGGGTTACAAGTATTTTGGGAAAGAGAATTTTGATAGATTGGTTCATGTTAAGACTAAAGTTGATCCTTATGACTTCTTTAGACATGAGCAAAGTATCCCTACTCTATCATCCAAATAGTTGTTACTCTTTAAGTGTTATATGATTTGATATATGTGTTTAAACTATGCCTCAAACCCTATTTGTGTGTAGCAAAATAAGGGGCATACATGAGTATTATTGTTTGTTGTTCATTTGTGGTTGACTTTAGTAGTGTGATGAAGTCCTTTTCTTTGAATGAAACTAAGAGCATATTGTTTTGGACGGTTGAAAGTAACATAACTCGGGAAAGTGATCTTAATTACCAAATTTAAGTGTATCATCGATTTTGTCGATTTTGTAACAGCCCTAGAGTTCTGTTAACCTAAAGTCGTTACCATCTTCGTAACCTAACTTCTTATGTAGAAATGAGCATTTAAAACATCTTTGTAAAACAATGTCATGGACTTATATGTTTTAAAAAGTTTTTAAAGCAACGTGAACCAAATATTAAATAAAACAAAGTAAATATTAAAATTGACAATACCTTATATTAACAGAAGGTCTAGGAATTTAAGTACAAGTATTCTATGCATGTGTCGTAGTCTTTACTTGCCATTATGTTAGTTGTAAAGGGGTGCATTGCCTTTACTTGAAAAATAGAAGTAGCACACGACTTGAGTATTTTAAGAAATACTCAGTAAGTGTCACGACCCGATTTTCGAGGCTTCGAAAAACCGAATCGTGACTAAAAAGACGAAATCGAAAACAAACCAAAGGAAAATAAAAGAAAAGAAAAGCAAAGTAAAAAGATAAAAATACTTTGAATTAAAACAAAAAGAGAGAAATTTTGTTTGTTAATTATTACAAAAGAAATTGCAAATATAAAATGAAATACAAAAGACTCTAAAAGACCGAAAAGGGACTGACGCTCCGGAACGACCCCCTTTGTGACTGTACAGCTCTCAAACGCTCCTCTACCTCGACCAGCAGCCAGCGAACACTTGAGAAAAATAAAGTAGAACGAGATGAGTATAAAAATTATACTCAGTAAGCCACCTACTTGTAGGCTCTCTTCGCATCTTAATTTAACAGAACTCCCACGGTTTCCTAATTCGGTTCTAGGACATCGGGTTCTAACCTTAGTCTCTTAGGGCTTGCCCCTTGGGTTTCACCGGTTCATCGTCCTTTCATTAGTCACCTAGAGGTTCCTTATGCCAAGCTGATATGGTCGGTATCTCTCTATGAGGCGCTACCTCTACATGGCTATCTAGGACTACATGATATCTAGCCTAGGGGTGTGCTGAATACCCCTACGCCCATATAGTCCTCCTATGAGGAGCGCGACCCAACCCGTTCCCATGTAGCTAATGGGCTGTACGACGTGGGGACACATTTCCCATGCGAAATGGCTAAGAGCAGTAAGGATTGATCAGGGACCCTTGGTCCTCCCACGAAGCTATAGATACCGTTCTCACGCTAGCAATCTATGAACACTCCTAGGTACTTTCTTGCCATGGTGAACCGCTAAGTTCCTAGGGGAAAATTAAGTTTGGCTGGAGCGACACATCGCTCCTAACAATAATTCTCTAAGCTTGTCATAGAAATGGGCACTAGAAAATAACGGGGTGTGCAGGCAACCGTCTTCTAACATCCTAATATTCATGACAACTAGGCACGCCGGCTCAACGGGGCGATGACCTCCATCCAGCACCCAAAACACGAAGTTCGCGCTCAATGAGGCGAATTCATCCATCGAGCACCCGGAACACGGAATACACAATTCCAACATAAATTAAACGCATGCATACGTACAACGGAAGCTTAAGGCATACAAGCAACACTCAGATAATTCACCCAACACATCATAACAATCCATCTGATTAATCTCATTCATGGAGAGCTAATTTAAGGCAAAATTACTAACATGCATACATACAATCCAAGCGAACCCTACAAGTATTTCTTCCTAAATACCGGGTGGTGACTTACCTGGTTAACGCGTGCCCTTTTTGCTAGCGTTTCTTGCCCGTGAGGTGTCCAAAAGTACTGATTTCTTTAAATTAGGTCCCTATTCACGTAAGAACAGTATTAGAACTGGGACCGGGACAAAAATCGGGCAAACAGAAAGCAATCGGGCCAAAATGGCCGTTCCACGCGCGCTCACGCGCCAGCAGCGCGCTGGGAGTGCGTGGTCACGCGCGCGGGAAGGTGCTAGTCGCGTGCTGCACGTGCGCCCGCCTCCGCGTAGTCGCGGGTCGGCCGGTCCGGTCGGCTCGGCTCGCGTCGCGGTTCGGCCTGGCTTGCAGGCGACACGTGTCGACGCCTCGCTGGAGCTGCGTTGCTCTAGCCGATGGTTGACGCGTGTCCGGCACCTGTCGCCGCCGTCCGCCACTCGCCGGCAGTCTTTTTTTTTTTTTTTTCTTTCTTTCTTTCTTTCTTCTTCTTTCTTCTCTGCCTTCTGGAAACCGAAACACAATCCTCTATTCCAATTTTCATATCTTTCGATCCGTAGATCGGATCGACATGATTTCTTCGGCAAAGTTTTAGATCGTGTTACGGGCTATGTCCTCGTATTATTTTTTTTTTGTAATTTTTGCTTAACTACCGGATGAGTTAAGAAGGTCGGAATTTCGCTCACCGTTTTCGGACGACTCTCGGATCTCCACCTTCGGGTTGAGGTCTCGGCCAAACTTCTTCATAGATCACGCGTAGAGTTGTTCCTAGATGAATATATCAAGATTTCAGATCTTGATTCACAAAGGAAAACGGTAGATCTGAGAAAACGTTCAAGATCCTTACCTTGCGGGTTTTCCGACTTCTTGATGAAAAATGGGACTTCGGCCACCCACATTCTCTTTTCCCTTCCAAGAAAGTCTCTCTGCATGATCTCCACTTCCTTGCATCATGATCTTCACCGGAATAGACTCCGACGGTAGTTTTTGGTGAGTCTTCCGGCGGTTCATCCTTTCTCCTCTCTCTAAGTTCTCTCTATCCCTTTCTCTCACTATCTCTCTTTTGCAGGACTATGGATGGGGTTTCGTTTGGACCCCTTAGGTGGTTGGAGGGGCAAATTTACCTATTTGCCCCTCTCGACTTTTCCTTTTTTTTTTTTTTCTTTTTCTATTTCTATTTCTCTTTCTTCGGGTATTACAGTAAGTGACTCCACTATTGGAGTCTCGGAATGCAAACACATTCAACTCATAATTAGGGACCTATCATTAAAACCATCATAGAGGATGTGTATTACTTTCCTACACACGACCCACACATGCAGGCGTGAGTCCATTAGGAGGTTCGTAGCCCCCTGGGCCTATCATAATCTAGCTAGTTTGGCTTTAGTCAGATGTCTGGAGGTATAACAAACCCTCAAATATCACGCAAGTCTGATGATGGTCATCATTATTATAGTGTACACATCCATACTCATAATCATAAATGGGGAAGTAACCCGATGTAAATGTACACTAAGTATGCATGAGGTCCCTATAATTTTCATCTTAAATCATTCTTATGACAGAACCCTATACATCATTCACATGTTACTCTAGGTAACATACATTCATTGACCTTCATACATTCATCATCATTAATATCATTTAGGGTTGTGTATCGGAAATTTTTTCATCATAATGCAACGTGACATCTTATACATGCACATCATCTTAATATATAGTATCATCATATTTAGTCATATCGTCATCATACATTTTATGACATCATCATCATCATCATCATCATATCATCATATAATCATCATATCATCATATTATCATGTCGTCATATCATCATATCATCATGTCATCATCATCATCATATCATCAGAATATAACATCATATCATACTAACTCACATCATCATAACATCATAACATTATAAGAAATACTGTAAAGGGGTGCATTGCCTTTACTTGAAAAGTAGAAGTAGCACACGGCTTGAGTATTTTAAGAAATACTCAGTAAGTGACTCCACTATTGGGGCATGAGAATGCAAACACATTCAACTCGTAATTAGGGACCTATCGTTAAAACCATCATAGAGGTGGCTTTCAGTCTGGACAAAATTGGATGTGTAGTACTTTCCTATACACGACCCACACATGCAAGTGTGAGTCCACCAAGAGGTTCGTAGCCCCTTAGGCCCATCATAATCTAGCTAGTTGGCTATAGTTAGACGTCTGGAGGTATAACAAACCCTCGAATATCACGTGATAACTCTCGAAAAGTAGAGTCATATCAAGTCTTTTTGTATTTAATATGACACTCTTATTCACCATTTTTTCATTATTTACCCCATTTATTCTACTTAGTGAGCATGAAATCGTTTATTGTGGTCCAACAGGAAAAAAAATATTATTTGGCATAAATCGATCTTAATTGTAAATTTAATTGAGTTATGTGGTAAGATTTCAGACATTTATGCTGAACCATGAGGGAGTAGCAAATCTGTAAATAAATGGGGGATGACATGGAAATTTTAAATCCACATCAACATGCAAGTGGGTCATTAACTACCTAATGAGAAACATCCTATGTGGACAATTTATTCCTTTTCAACCCTAAAAGGGAACTTATGCTCAATATAATAGGAAAAGAAAGACTAAGAGGAGAGACGGACTTTGGGAGAAAAATCAAATTACACAGCAGCAGCCTCTGCTGCAGTGAACTGCTGTGAAACCAGAGAAGAAAAAGAAAACCATAATCCAGCAGCTGTTGACAGTAGAAGGAAAATGAGACCAACAAGGATTGATTAGGGCAAAGAGGTGGACGTGAGAGCTCAAGAGAAGGGAACTTCCATTGACGAACGACAACAAACCGAGATAACTCTCTATTTCTTTATTCTCTTTTCTTATTCCATCAATTTTACATGATGAAGATGCGGATTCCTCTGTTTAATTCAGTTTGTATGGAGAGATAAACTTTATAGGGGAGGTGAGAGAGTTTTATATAGTTTAAGTATGTTGACGGTATGATTTTAGTTTATTAAAGAGTTGTTAATGATTTACATGTGTGTTTAATTAGCTAATTTACGTACATAGTTGTTCTCTTGTTCGGGAGAAGAGAGGGAGCAATGAAATCCTCTTTAATACTCTAGTTCTATAGCAAGGAGACTTGAAGGGTAATAGAAGGGTTAGAAATAATTCTTTCTCATATAGCCTTGTTAATAGAAATTACAACGATTATGGAAATAATCACCATTCATAACCCTAGGAAGTGGGTTTGGGAATCTATTAAAAGGAACTAAAATCTACCACAAAACTCAACAACTAATCTATTTAATCTCTCTTGGCCGAACCTTTCTCATTATAGCTGATTTTTCTCATTATTTTCAGTTTTTCGACAACAGTGGCGCTCTGTTTTAATTTTGTTTTAGTAGTTAAAATCACCCACACTCATTTGAATCTTACCCAAAAACTCACTTAATTTCCAGCGATAAAATTAACCAAAAAGATAGGTTCCCTGTGGAATTGATAATTTACTTATTACTTGCTACTTGTGATAGTGTATACTTGCACTTATTCTTGTGAATTTTACATCATTTTATTATATACATCCACAAGCGATCATCACGCAAGGCATGACGATGGTCATCATTATCATAGTGTACGCGTCCGTACTCATCATCATAAATGGGGAAGTAACCCGATGTAAATGTACACTAAGTATGCATGAGGTCCCTTTGGTTTTCAACTTGAATCATTCTTATGACACGACCCTATACATCATTCACTACTCTTGGTAACATATATGCATTGACCTTCCTACATTCATCATCATTAAATCGTTTAGGGTTGTGTGTTGGAAAACTCTTCATCATATTGCAACATGGCATCTCGTACATGCACATCATCTTAATATATAGTATCATCATATTGAGTCATATCTTCATCATGCATCATCATATCATCATATAATCATCATCTTCATATCATCATATCATCTTGTCATCATGTCATCATATCATCATCATAATATAACATTACATGATATTAACTCACATCATCATAACATTATCATCATACATCATCATATCATATAAATTCACATCATTATCATCACAGTACATAAGCATAAATGACACGTGCAAGGGTCAGTTGACACATGTCGTCATACATAAAGTAATTCTTTCAACCGAGCCGATAGTAAGACCACTTACTTGGTTGGCCTTAGCCAACGTTCTTCCTAAACTCAAATACTTGATTTTGTCCCTAATTATCGTCGAGGTGTTTTGCCTTATTAGAATATTCGCTCAATAGTCTTACTAACGTCGAATTCCTAATTTAATTTATTCAAACTAAGAAAGTAGGCTTATACTAACCTTATTTGCCTTAAATAAGGTCAAATTCAACTATGGGAGGGTCTAATACGTAAAGAACAATGTCCAAAAAGTCGAACCAAGTCGAATAAGCCATATTTGAGCCGAGTCGAGGGAACCGCCAACTAAAAAAAGGACATGTGGCAGTGAGGGGAGCTGAAGCATTCGCGGGCCACAATTTGGGTTGAGGCATGGGTTCGGGGTTAGTCACACGGGCGTGCGGGTTGGGATGTTGGGTTGTGCATGGTTGTCGGGCCGAGGCTACGATGGGCCGAGTGGAGGGTTGCTGTAGGTGAGTAGCTAACCGTTGGATTTTGGGCTTGTGTGGTGGGTTGCTGCAGATGGGTATCCGAATCCGACTCGAAGTGCTGTCTTCTCCGCCTAACTTCATCGAAAAAACCTGGTGGCAATTCTCTCTCTTTCTGAGAGTTTTTATGCCTCTTTCCATCATTCTTCCCTCCAGATCTCGGTTTCTTTGAGGCTCTGACTGCCTTCCCTTCACGTACACGATGTCGTAGTGTCCTTACGTACTTGTAAACACGAGTTTTCTAACATTATTGTTAAGGGTATTTAGTAATAAATTATACTTTACCATATATATCATATTTGATATTTTATTATAAAGCAAATATCTAGATATTTGCCTTCTTACCTTAGGTATCTTTCCATTTATTCCTCTTTCCATATCTCTGTAATTTATTTTATTATAAATAAGATAACTTTCACACCATTTAGGTGTGGTGGATTAATCGAACATTCTTATGGTATCAGAGCCCTTTCAGTCCCTTGTTTTCAATGCCTTTTGAATTCCCTACTCATCTTCTTCTCCACCATCCCTGCTGGCTTTGATGCCGCAGGGGCAGTCTCCATGACCGCCACATGCAGAGCCGATTGATTACTCTTCGGCTCCACCCTTTTGACCTCCAAATCACCCTTCACCACACTTTGTACATACAACTTCACCTTTTCCAACACAATCGATTTTCCCTCAACCAACATAGTTTCTTTCAGTTTTCTTCCCAATCTTCCCTTCATCCTTCATAGAAACCTTTGGAATCTCGGCGTCGCACTGGCCTCTTCGCCAACCAAGTCGCCGCTGCCCTTCTAGTCAAAATTGCCTCCTTCGCCCACTGTGGCGACTCTTCCGACCTCAACATTGTCTTTGTCCCTTGCTCTGGGCTTCCCCTTCTACTTCTTGGGTTGACATATTCTCACCAGAGCCAAGGCAGCATCGTCGGTAAGCGACGATCCCTCTTCATGAGTTAGACATATTCTCGCCGAAGCCAAGGCAGCATCGCCGCTGAGCGATGATCCCTCTGCAGTTTTCGATGGCCAAGAAAGTGTTTCTCTACACCTCTTCCGAACCAGGTTGTCTACATCTTCACGAAAAGTGTTTCTCAACCTCTTTTTGAATTTTTCATATCCAAGCCTCACGTTCGTTTAAATCCGACGCTCAGCTTGCGGTGGGGTGTTAAAGATATTTAGTAATATATTTTCCTTCTTACCTTAGGTATCTTTCCATTTATTTCTCTTTCCATATCCTTGTAATTTATTTTATTATAAATAAGATAACTTTCACACCATTTAGGTGTGGTGGATTAATCGAACATTCTTAATTATTATTCCTCCATAACCCACACCTTCGCCGACGATGTTTTAAATGGTAAAGCAGCCACAATATACAACGTACTTACCACTGGAATTTTGAGAATCGTTTGTAGACTTCCGCTCCGTGTGCAACGCTAGTCCATTGATACTCCTTTGTTCGCCGATGATGTTTGTAGACTTCCACTCAATATGCGGTCAAAGGTTCATGCTCTTCTTC